GCTTCTTCTTTTTCTTTTGGCTTTTCCCTCTTCAGGGGTCTCCACAGTGAGTCATCCTCCTCCATCTCCCTCTGTCCTCTGCATCCTCTGTCCTCACTCCAACTATCTCCATGTCCTCTCTAACTGCATCCAAAAGACTCACCTTTTTCTTTTCCTGGCAGCTGCATTTCTAACATCCTTCTACCAGTATACCCACTGTCCCTCCTCTGGACATGTCCAAACCATCTCAGTCTGGTCTCTCTAACTTTATCTCCCAGTTGTTCAACCTGTGCTGTACCTCTGATGATCTCATTCCTAATCTTATCCAGCCTCGTCACTCCTAAGGAGAACCTCAACATCATGATGTCTGTCACTTCCAGCTCTGTCTCCTGTCTTTTTGTCCATGTCTCTGTCTCCAGACCATACAACATAGCTGGTCTCACCTAGGGATGCACCGATCCACTCTTTCCACTTCCGATATCGATACCAGATGTTTAGGATCTGTCAATACCGATCTGATACAGAAAAGCAGTGCTGAATTCTGTTCAACAAACTTGGCGTGCTCTGGAGATGCTTGATTAAGTTGGTATTGTCATAACTGGAAGTTCTATTTCATATAGGCTTTGCCCTTTAAGGCTATCGCTAGTGAATTTATCCCTACGCACGCAGCACTGAAAACTTTAGTCCACGCCCACCTACTGTGTGGGCCTCATCCCTGGTCCATATAAATTATGGTGAGACAGGGTAATCGGCTACCATTTTTTCTTCAGCCAGCTAGCCAACACTGTCAGAAGAACGAAAAGTTGTCCAGCTTTGACCGACACAACCTTTGCTAAGAATGGCTGGGTCTCTGCCACGCCAACCTCCTGCCATCCCGGTGAGCTCTTCCTCCCCGAGGAGAAGCAGACGAGCAGCCTTGTTCAAGGTAAGCGCCGAGGAGTGTTTTTCCGTGGAGGGCCGCTACTCGCTGGATGAAGCCACCACCTTTTCTAACGTGTTTTTTCCTCACGGTTAATCGGATGATTCCCTCGAAAAAGGTGTTGTTGGCAGCAGCTCCGCTAAGTGTTTTTTGCTGTGGTGGGATGCTATGCGCGGGATGACGCCACCGCCTTCTTTGACGCAGAGTCACACAGCGAATCGAATGATTCCTCCGAGAAAGGCGATGCGGAGCTGCCCCCTCCCTCCTGGAGAGCGTAGTGATGGAAGACGAGTGGCCGAGCAGATGCTCAGTCACCTCAGATCTTCCCACGCCGGCGACCACACCGCTCCCAGCCGTCGGCGCCCTCCTCTCGGAGCTGCCTGGCATAATCCAGGAGGATGTTAACACAAGGGACTTTTCGTCCCTTACCTCCCTCCGCCCTGATCGGATGATCTGGTGGCAAGGTTGGCTCCGCCCCGGCTCGTCGCCCTGACCCCATCTGGCCTCGCTGTCCAGCTGTGACGTCACACTGGAACGAGGCTGCAGCTGGGCCTGGCAAGCTAAAGACATTCATCTCCACCTTTGCCTCTATCTCCAGAGTGGAGGGTTTTACCGATCGGTGGTTTTACCGATCGGTGGTTTTACCGATCGGTGCTTTTCCCTCAGCCCTCCCCCTGGAGCCAAGCCTGGCGGTGGCACTTGGGGCAAAAGCTTCCAGGATGGACCAACAACCTGTCCCTCCAGGGAAGCATGACCAGATGGTGACAAGGTCTCCAACCGTGCTCACCAGTGTACATTCCAGATGGCCGCAGCGAACAACGACGTCACCCTGCTGGCCTACAACATCTCTAAGAGGCTGGAGGGAGCAGACCTGCTGGAGGAAACAAAGAGCTCTCTTGCTGACGTCATCTTAAACATGTGCCACCTCTGCGGTCTGCCTGTCCCGCATCGCCGCCTGGATGACCATGATCCAGAGGACCACTTGGCTCCGCCTCTCGCTATTCTTGTCCGAGAATCTACAGAAAGACCTGCTGGAGGTTTCCATCACCCCAGAGGTGCTGTTTGGGGCCAACTTCAGGACCATCCTTGAGAAATCGCAGAGGTCCGAGGTGGTCTCGGAGACTGTACACCATCTGGTGACGTCACAGTCCTCCGCCCGCCCCTCCAGCCACTGGAGGGACCGCCTTGACCAGCAACAGCAGCAGAGGCGCTCCACAGCACAGAGGCACACATACAGCCCTTTTTTCTGTTGGAGCCCTCCTTGGGTTCCCCCCAGAGAATCTTTTGAGCAGTAAGAATTTTTTAGTCTTGTTGACGTTCATGAGAAACATGACACAATACAAATGCGTGCCCACTCTCCGAGCGTTACTCAGAGTGGCAGCGAGTGTGTTCCCTGGACAGATGGACGGACCGTCTGATCAGCAGGGGTTACACGCTGCAGTTTCGCAGCTCAACCCCCACCGTTTCAGAGGGATTATAGAGACGGTTCTGTCTTCTCCAGAACAGAGATTGTCTCTCCAGTCAGAAGTTAAGGAATTTCTCACAAAAAACGTGATTTCCAGAGTTCCCATCGGAGAGGAAAATACAGGGTTTTTTTTTTGTTGTTTTTTTTCCCCTCCCACTAATTCCTGTTTCTGATTAAAAAAAAAAAAAAAAAACCCAGAGGGATGAGACCCATTCTCGAACTGTTCATGTTCAGCAATTCAATCATGGGGAGACAATTCCACATGCTGACAAACAGCTGCTGGAGAACTTCACCAGAACGACTGGTTTTCACCTCCATAGATCTGAAGAGCGTAGGCTTTCACATTTCCATCATTCTGAAACACCCCACGCACGTTCTCGAAATGCGTGGAGACGGCTCTGCAGTCGTTACTCATGGCAGGATTGCGAATTCTTTTATCTGGACGATCTGCTCTTATTAGCTCGGTCCAGTTAGAAAGCTGTCGCACAGACCAAAACGTTAGTGTTATATCTGCTAAACCTGGGGCTTCTATAAACTGGGAAAAACTTCAATTCGTCCGTCCCAGATTGTTTATCTGGAAGTGGAGCTAAACTCAACTACAATGAGAGCCCGTTTATCACAGCTGAGAGCCGAAGCTCTATCAGCTCAGCTCCGCCGTGTCAAACCCAGCTCCGCCGTGTCAAACCCAGCTCCGCCGTGTCAAACCCTGCAGCATAGTGACAGTTCTGCCTGTCATGCGACTCCTGGGACGATGTCAGCGGCCCACATCGTGGTTCCGCTGGGCCTACTTCACATGAGACGCCTTCAGAGATGGTTCGCCCGCCTGCGCATAGATCCTGTGCGCCAGAAGAGGTGGATTATCTTTGTGCCCCCCCTCCATGGGAAACTATCTGAATCACTGGGGAAACCCCCTCATTCTGTCAGAGAGAGTTCCCATCAGCAGGCCTACGTCACATGTCACTTTTCACAGACACGTTCCTGTCAAGCTGGGAGGAATGTGTCTGTCCCAAGCAGTGGGAGCACAGTGGCTGGACCACATGTTGCTTCACATAAATGTGCTAGAATGTTTTCATGGTCTGAAGCGTGACTCAGCATTTTGCCCCTGCTGTGGAATCAGCATTTTCTGATCCACACAGACAACAAGATGACGGCAGTTTACATAAACAGTCAGGGAGACGTGCGCTCAACCCAACTGTTACGCATCGCAAAACAGCTGTTGTGTTGGGCACACAAAAACCTGCTCTCCATCAGAGCAGTGTACTTTCCCAGCATCCTGAACAGGCGAGCAGATATCATGTCAAGGGGATTCCTGCCTGACCTCATCTGTTAGTCGGTCCATCACCAGAGAAAACAAGAAGGGGCTCAGAGCCGATCCTTGATGCACTCCCACCTCCACCTTGAAGCTATCTGTCACTCCTACAAAACATCTCACCACTGTCCTGCTGTCCTCATACATGTCCTGTACCAGTCTAATGTACTTTTCTGCCACTCCAGATTTCCTTGTGTAATACCACACCTCCTCCCTCTGCACCATGTCATACGCTTTTTTAAAATCCACAAAGACACAATGGAGTTCTTTCTGACCCTCTCCGTACTTCTCCATCAGCATCCTCAAAGCAAATATGGCATCTGTGGTGCTCTTTCTCAGCATGAAACCATACTGCTGCTCATAGTCACCTCTCGTCTATGTCTAGCTTCCACAACTCTCTCCCAGATCTTCATTGTGTGACTCATCAACTTAATGCTAAATAGCTATAGCAGCATAAAGAAGAGATAGGGTCGCTTGGGTTTCCTGAGCTAACTATCGGATTTATCAAAAATTAAAGATGTAAGCCTAATCTTAAAACTGGACAATGTGTCAGCCTCATGGACAGAAACTGGAAGTTGGTTCCACAAGAGAGGAGCCTGATAACTGAAAGTTTTTCCTTCCATTCTACTGTTGGAAATTCTAGGAACCACCAGTAAACCTGCAGTCTGAGAGTGAAGTGCTCTGTTAGGAAAGTATGGAACAATAAGATCTGTAATATAATGTGGAGCTAGGTTGTTGAGAACTTTGTAGGTTAGAAGTAAGATTTTGAATTCAATTCTGAATTTGACAGGGAGCCAATGGAGAGAAGCTAAAACTGGAGAGATCTCTCCTGTCAACTCTCATTAAAACTCTGTCTGCAGCATTTTTGATCAACTGAAGACTTGTTAAAGAAGTTGTTGGACATCCAGATAATAAACCATTACAATAGTTCAATCTAGACATAATAAATGCATGAACCAGTTTTTCTGCATAATTTTTGGACAAGATGTTTCTAATCTTAGTGATATTGCGCAGTTGGTGGAACGTGTTTCTGATAACTTTTTAAACGCGGGATTAAAGATATACCTTGATAAAAAATAACACCAATGTTTTTTTACATTAGAACTGGGAGGTCAAATTATTGCCATCCAGAGAAAAGACTACAAAATGTATTCCTAAGATGCTTTACATATACATGAAGTTATATATTTTTCTGTTTTGCAATTATTTTGCATATTTCAGTTATCAGGCTCCTCTCTTGTGGAACCAGCTTCCATTTATTTTGGATTTATTTTGCATTTCTTTCATTTAACATCTCTGTCTTTGTTTCCACAGCTTTTTTTGGCAGTTCTTCACATGGTTTCAAGGGTTCGTTACTGTGGTTCTTCATAATAAAAGGTTTGTATGACTTGTGCACCTATAGTTAAGTTGTATGCAGAACTATTGTAACTGAAACAAGTTTTGCTTGTTTTAGCACTTTACCACAGCATGTAAAATGCATATAAATAATTCACATTATGAGCATGCTGCAGCAGCAGAACGAGCTACAGAACAGGAAAGGAAAATGACAAAACTAGAAAGTTCCTGCAGAAACTTTGATGGGGACTGCCACATTGCAGCCGTTTAAATTTTTTGATTTGACAGTACTTTGTGTTGGGGTTTGCTCTCAGCTACCACTGTACCAAGTTTCAGCTCAATGTGGCAAAAAAAAAAAAAAAAATCAGTGACTTGTAGTAAGCTGTGGTGGCCATCTTGGATTGGGGAATGTTAGCTATAATCCAACAATTTTCAGTCAGTTCATCTGGACAGTTTCTCTTTTTTATGCTGAAATGTTTCACCTTCCATCCAGAAGGCTTCATCAGTCAAGGAAACGCACAACACAAAACCGATTCTTCCCCCAACAGCTTACTCCAAAGTGGAACAATATAACTGGTCTGTTCCACTTTGGAGTATGTGTTGGGAATAACTCATCTTCCACTACATCAAAAGTTTTTTTGTCTTTATTGAAAAATTAAGAAACAAAGGACACAGTATAACAAGGCATACAACAGAAATTTAAGTTCACATTTGACATGATAAAACTGAGCAGAAATTATAAAGAAAAATAAAGTAAAATAAAAGAGAACATGAACAGTTTGAGGAAACAACGAAACAAAAAAAAGTTCAAAATGCAAGCGGAGTTTCAAGTCTTAAAATAAGCTATTAATATACTGGTATAAAGATTGGGCTTTTGGAAGGTTGCAGCATTTAAGCACTTCCTTAAATAAAATTATTTCACTTAAAAAAATGTTGAAAATGGGGGTAATTTTCAGGAAACGGCATTTGTGAATAAAAAAAAAAAATTAGCCAGAAGGATTAAATTGTCACCATAATTTAAATCATCATCCCCTGTTAACAGACCAAATTTAATTATAGTAACATTTAAAGGTGGAATAGAGGTCTTGGATAAGATCCAATTCTGAAAATCTTTCCAAAAAGCATCAATGAAGTTGCAATTTTTTAAAAAGTGTTCTGCTGTCTCAATATCTGACTTACAGATTGCACAGGAATCGGTGTTTATATTAAATTTCTTTTGCAAAAAGTCATTACAAGGATAAATTTCATACATAATTTTGAAATTAATTTCTTTATTTTTTTATGGGAGTAGATAGGATAGGAAAGACATTTGATTTAGATTTTTTTTTTTTAGATATTACAATTTTTAAACAAATGTTTTCTTCTCAGTGTACAGGAGAAGAAAACTGAGGTCAGAGTTATTTATGAATTATGAATTATGCATTTATTATTACACAACCATTTATAATCAAATATGGTTTTTTTTTGGGGGGGGGGGGGGACTAATAGTCAAATGTGTAATCATACCTTTAACCATCTGAATCATAGCAGGAGGAATTCCATTACATCAAACTTCAGCTTAATATCTGCAAATCTGAGTTACGGCCATTTCTTCTTTATTGTTTTTCCAGCTTGCGAGTAGCTGGCGCCTCTCCAACAGTCACTCTGTGTGAGAGGCGGCGTACATGCTGCAACTTCATCAGGGCCGTATGAAGACTAACAAGACAATTAATAATTCATGCTGTCACTCACACCAAGTGACAATTTAAAGTTACCAATTAACCTAACGTGCATGTTTTTGGTTTGTGGGAGGAAATGTAGAAAATTTCAGACAGAGAGATTTTCACGTCTAACCTTTTCTCTGTTTGTTCCTGTAACTGGAGGTTGTTAAAAATTGTAAATATACAGCATGTGGGATTTAATCCGTCCGTCAGAGAATCTTGTTTTTGCTCTTTTAACACACTTTGTACCTGGAAGTTTAGCTTCAGTAATAATCTACTTATTTCTCTCTCTTCTTCCACTTGTTTTGTTCAGTTTTAATGGACAACAGGAAGCGACTAAAGGAAGCATTCGTCTTTACTCTGCTGATGGTGTCAGTGAGTGTCCTCTTGATATATTTCCACGCTGAGACAAATCGACAACATCCGGGAGGTCCATCATTCAGAATACCAAAAGTAATTTATGGAGCACAGAAGGCTTCGTCACCCGAACCTCACTGGGAGGTCCCAGGACCGTATCATGTGGCCTATCCACGGAACTACAAATTCGTCATGGACGACACCCAGACGTGTAAAAACACAACTCCGTTTCTGATCTTGATGGTTCCTGTTGCTACCAAAGATTTCCAATCCCGGAATTTAATCCGAAGGACATGGGGAAGGGAGAAAATAGTCCTTAATAAGCTGGTTGAGACAATCTTTGCTGTGGGCTTACCTGGAGAAGGGGATGCTCAGCAGCTGACGGAGACACTTAAACAGGAGAGCATGCAGTATCGGGACCTTATTCAGAGCAACTTCGTGGACAGCTATCACAATTTGACTATCAAGACAATGGTCATGATGGAGTGGCTGGCAAAGTACTGTTCCAAAGCTTCCTTCGTTATAAAAGTCGACTCGGATGTGGTAGTTCATGTGAATAATTTGGTGAAACTGTTGCTTGCTCCTAACACACCTAAACAGAACTATATGACCGGTCTGGTATGGTGGCACAGTCCAGTTTTAAGAAGTCCATTCAACAAATTTTACATGCCCCTATCAGTGATCTCCGAACCAGAGTATCCCCCCTATCCTCTGGGCATGGCTTATGTCATGTCTCTGGATCTTCCTCCAAAAATCTTAAACGTCTCACTTCAAATTAAACCCATTTACATAGAAGACGCCTACCTGGGCATGTGCCTAAAGCGCCTGGGTATTTCTCCCACCGACCCACCTGAGGAAACGATGTTCCTCGTCAACCCTCAGCATCCTCTGAACAGCTGCACCCTCTCCAAATTGATCGCCACGACAACAACAAGTGTTTCACAAGTGAGCTGGTACTGGCATATGATCAAAAGAGGAGTCTGGTGTTGAGTTTTACTCTAATGTCCTCCCTGGTGGAGCAGATCTTTAGTGTGTGACTTGTTGGAGGAATATTGTTGCTGCTGTAGACATCGCAAAACACACAAGTTTTGCTTTGGATGGAGAACTGTTGTAATTCTGCAAAGTTTTCATATGCATAGAAAACTTTAGCAGTGATGTGTTGTCATTTTGTTTGAGTCAATTGAGCGCTTTCAGCAGACTAATACCACTTTTGTTACTTGAACAAACCAGTAAGATGAAAAACTTTAAGGAATGTTTTGGTTTGCGTAAAACGTTTTAATTTTTTTTATGTATAAAGTGTAAACCGTTTACCATTGAAAAGCATTAGAGTGGCATAATTCTCCAAGTATTGGAAGCAGATGATGTTTTGCAAACTCAAGTTGTTTTCCTGACAAATTTAATGTTAATTTTGAGGACGTGTACAACTATGAAATACTCCTGGGGTTGTTTTCCTGCCTTTCATGGCAGTGGGTGATCATGCAATGGGTTTGTTTTACAGATATTGAGCTAAAGTTTGACGTGTTGGTAGCTGAGAGTCATACCCATCACATGCTCTGAGCACTAACAGATCATATAGCCTCTTTATTTAAAACTTTACCAAGGACTGACATAAGTGTAGTTTTGGGTTTGACAGTTTGCCTTATCACTTCTGTTCTTATTGTACATAACATGTTTTTTCAATGCCATCAAAAACAAATGTTTTGAATTTAATATTAAACATTTAAAAAATTTAATATTTTTTGGTCAGTTAAGCAGTTGGGTGATATCTGTAGTTGTCAAATTAGTTGTAGTTTTAGCAACGCACCAGCAGGGGGCAGACATACCACACACTGAGCTGCATCCTTGGAAACCAGCTGGAGAAGTATGGAAAAATTAGGAAAGGAAAAAAGGAAGTAAGGAAAACTATTTTGTAACAAAATAAAAACAATCTAAAAGAAGTTTTCAGCTTATTCTGAAGAAAAAAAAAAAGGTTTAATTTCCTGTCAGCAGGAGATTTGTCGCATCTTATTGAAGAAACAGAGTGGTGCTAAGGAAAATGACTAAAGTCTGCTCTGCAGTGTTTTTCAGCTCTGCAAAATTTTAGAAGTGTGTGTACTAATTGTGGCAGTGACACTGTACATGTTACCCTTACAGTTCCTAATTTGTAAGTTGTATCAGTTTGACAAATGATGAATTATCAGCATTGATGTGCCACAGAGGGGGAAGAGAAACTGCAGCGTTCAGAAGATGACCTGTACAAGCCATGGTAAGTACTTGCAGAATGCCATAT